CCAAATAGCCTTATACAAGCAGAGAGCATAAATGCATCTAGATTTCAACCAACGAGGGCGGTACAATGAACTCATAGGCCAATATCAAGCCCTGCGTCTGCACCAACACATCAACCTTTCTTCCTCTTTATGTAGGTGTGCCCGCTTGTTTTTGACCTCTGTTTGTTTGTTGTCAGACTTGTCTGTTTGTATGTGTTTTCATCTTGTTTAACTGCATGTTCTTGTTTTGACTGTATCAGGCTGTTTGTCTGTTCGTGTCGGACGGCTCTTGTTTGTCCGTCCGGTTATCTCTCATCTCTCTCTCTCCCCTGCGAACACAGCACGATGGTCGATGTGCGGCATGCTGAGACCATAACATGGGGAGCCCGACAGTCGCATACACGCAATCCGACAAGCCGGGCGGGTGCAGGCAGCATTACCCAATCGTACCAAAGCCCGAATTTCATCACGAGTTCCACCTAATAAATGCACAGCAATGCTCACTAGTGGCAGTGTGCGAACAGTCCCACCATCTTCAACAATGAACCAATGTTGATATCCTATTTGCCGCTCCGCGCCCATCGTCCAGACTACGAGCGACAGATCCTATCTAGCCTAACTATAATGCAACTGGTGACTTCAGTAATTCCCCGTAGTACGGGCAGATCTCGGCCAATACCGATCGCTTTAGCCTGCCTATATTACTGACAACCTCGATCCCCTACTCACAACTGCCACGTACACCGAAAGACCACCATGCGCCTTGGTAAAGTTGATTTGCATCGACAATAATAACAAATAATAATAATAGTAATAATAATAATAATAATAATAATAATAATAATAACAATAACGACATATTCAGATTTGCATAATCACATCGAAAGCCAAATCTTAAAGCAGCATCGCACCAGTATGATACCAAGTGGAGAATCGTAATATTGGAAACCAATATCCATGAGAGCTTTGCTCCCGTCACCACCAACGTAGGTACCCAGGCTCCTCTCCCTACTTGGCACTCGGTGCCCAGCCTACTTCCTACATGGGTACTACCTGCCTACTAATTGACAATCCCACTAACCACGTCAGCGGCCAGCGAAGTACTTGAAGACATTGACCAGTGTAGGCCATCACCAATACCAGGTATGTACCCTTACGTCATCGTCATCATCCTTCTCTCCCTGCGCGATCCTCGCTTGTCATCGTAATGCCCTTCGCAAGTTTATCTTCCTTGCTCGCACCCTCTACCCCTGCGCGGTGTTCCTTTTCTCTCTTCTCTGCTCCCTGTCCCTCGTACCTTCGTGATGTGGCACCGCACTTTTCGGCGGCCAAGTCCTTTACGACCTAGCCCGGATGAGTTATTCAACGAACCTATCTTAGTCTCAGCGATGCATTCGTGAAAGTGAATCCAAGGAGAAAACACGGGGCTTGGAAGAAGAAAAACTTAGTAAAACAACGGAATCTAACTTAAAAGAAAGGAAACAAAAAGGAAAAAAACAAAAGAAAACTCCCTTTTAACCACCCCATCGTGACAATTGTCACAACGGGGTTCAACTGTACCTGATTCCAATCCAGAAGTCACAGGTTCGAGCCGTGTCGAACGAAAACAGGGAAAAACTTAAGTTGAGCTCCTTACAAAAGGAGTTGGCTCAGGGTCGGGCGGACTCGATCCCTGTATCTGCCGTTTAACAGTCTGCCTTTCTAACCTATTGAGCTAGCTCCCATATCGAGAAGATGGGGAGCAACTCTATTATGTAAAGAGTATTAATTCGTCCTAACTAGCGGTCCGAGCACATTTTTCCCAAGTCAGTGCATGTGTACGTTCGCCTATCTGTGTACTCGTTTGGATGCTTTGCTGGCTTGAGCGCATGGGTGATCCGCAAGGCTACTTGATTGAGTGGAAAGCCCGAAGCGCAGGTACCAACCAACGTTAATGACATCGATGGTCGTGGCGTGGAAACCATTCAAGGGTAGAGGCTGACCGGTACCACATTATGTAAGGGTTGATGCGTCGGGTGCTTGAGGCTAAGCAGAAGAAGACAAAGTTGGCTTTTCTATAATCCTAATACCGGTAGTCGCTGCTTCAGGCTGTGACGATATGATTTCTATAGAAATCCCGACCTCATTGGCCGAGGAATTCACTTCACGGCGTTACGCCGAAAGCTCTTACTTTTCACTCATGACCACTCCCGGTATGGTGGTTGGCGATGGCATGATATCGAATGCAATATCATGAGCTAATACCCTTGTAAGGGTGTTCGCTCCGACAGTCTTCCCGGACCCCATTAAGCGACGTGCCCGTCGCTGGGGAAATCTAAATGCGAACAAAGGCCTTCAGACGCGATAAGTTGTCAAAATCCGATTTCTTGGATGAAGTTGTGGTTCGCAGACTCTCAATGTCTCCCTTGGTGCGTCCATACTGCCAGGATTTTAACCTGGGTCTCCCACATATCCGAAAAATTGTAATACCAAAGAAAAATTATTCCATATGACTCAAAGTGGGGATACTAAATCTGTACTACAGTTACAGAGGTCGCCGAGGAAGATAATGATAGCCTCTCCCGTCAACTTTAGACTTTATTTGCCAGGATCTCGTTGAGTGTCCGAGGAGTTAGAAATCATAATTAAATCCTACTCTTTGGACACGGGTCTTAACCTAAGTCAGTTTTTGCGAGGGGATCGACAACCTTGGTCTCAACCCACCACAGTCGGTTGATCAGGCCTGATCTGTGACCCACCATGTTGTTAATTTAATGGTGGTATCTGCATCGGTTACGCAACAAAGGATAAATTCCTCCTATCAAAATATGTAGACCTGACTCTTGATCCCTCCGATATCTACATGAACCGATACTATCATTAGGGAGTCCCTCCTCTCAAGTTTAGTCCCAGGTCGTAATCGGAAGGCCCGCTGCCTGGTTATGCTAGGTCAGCAGCCCACGCTGGGAGTTACGTCCCAACGATGTCAAATTTTCACCATAGGCTTGGTAATTTTAAGTCCCTCAGACCGACCTCCATAAGTGGATGAGCGATGATCATTTCAAAAACATACATATGAAAATCAATTTGACCAAATAAATTTTTTCTCCCCTCGTCAGTTATTTTTGAATGGGTGAACAACCCCATTAAAAGTATATATGAAAGAAAACAATTTCAGCAAAAAGAAATAATTTAACATGATTGTCATATTTGTCTCTGATCGAGGGGCATCGTCAGAGGTACTGGGGGCTATGCCTCCCAGACCTCGATCACAGGCTGGATAGGCACACGTCTCGGGGATCTTTTTCCAATAGAAAAACAAACCAAAATATCCATAAAGAAAGTATAAAAGGTATTTGTTTGACCTCTTGTCTTATCAGAAGGCAGAAAAAACATCCATTCCATTCATAACATACTTTTCCCTGATTCACAGGGTTTCTCAAATGCATAATAACTTTGACTTTTTCATACCCCTTTTTAGGGTCCTTTTAAAAAATAACCATATAAACAAAAAATGACTGATCATAAGTACAAAACAACTTTCAAACTTTGCAAGTCTCATTTCATTCTGTCATTCTTGAACACTTAGGCGCTTTTCTGAGCATCCTAGCTCAAGATTTGACAGCATAGACTGTACACATATCCAAAGTACACATTATATCAACCAAAACCAAACACTGGACCAACTCAATTGTGAAAGTGCAAAGTATTCAAGTTCCCCATAGATATACCTCGCAAATAAACTTAGAATACAGAAACTCAACTGAATATAAAGTATGTGTCAAACTGATCCAGACTGACGCACAGAGCCTCAAGACAGAAAATGAATCATATGTCTGATCTATCCTCAACTATTAGAGTACAAATGCCGAGTCGGAAGAACATACATGATACTACAAAATCTCCTAATCCTAGCAAATGTGAAAAATTGGAGTACATACTCTGTAATTGGCTAAAATACTTTATCTGATGTTCGTAAGAAGAGTAAATAACAAGCTCACCACATTACTTCCTTTATCCTCCATCCCTAATATACAATGTCTTTCATAATAATTATTATCTCACATATTTGAAAGGGGTTTCAAGATTGCTTTTACTTTAGTCCTCTAAAGTGAGTCCCAACTGCTCATATAATTGGACCCTGAACCCTTCCTTGGTTCTCTTAATCAGATTTCCCTCTCTATCGATGAGTCTGTTGTTCTCATCGAGGCTAACCAACCCCTTAGCCCTATCTGTCTTAAAACCAGGGCACTCATCTCTCCTGTGGATTCCCTTCATGCAATACCAATTAATGTTTCTCCTCCTTTGTTCTCTTTGCAGATGATGGAATATCCTGAGATGTTGCCCCGATTAATGTTTCAAGATAAGACCTTTTCTTATGTTGTCCCACTTTGTTAAGAGTCAGTAAGGTTTCTTCATCCTTCTTTTCAAGCGAGGTGACAACTCCAACCAACAACCCCTCGTTTTGCTTATTATTAAGTTTTTCCTCTTCTCCTTCCATCCTTGGGTTTTCCTTTCTGTCCTCAACCCTTTTAACGGCCCCTACTTCGACCTTTGCCTGAATATCCCCTTTGGACCTTTTCAAGGCCTCTTCCACCTCCTTCCATCTCTTTTCCCACTTCTCACTCTCTTGCTTCCTTTCGCCTTTTTCTGACTCAATCGCCTTACCTTGCTCACTGACTTTTGCCTCCAACTTACCAACTTCTTTTTCCAATCTTTCTCTCTCCATCTTTTTCGTTTCCACCTCCTTACTCTTGCTGTCAAGGGCGGTACTTAATGTCTCCACATTTACTTCCAGCTTTCCTTTCTCAATCTTCGCCTTTTTCACCTCAGTCTTCAAATTTTCCACCTCCTTTTCTATTTTTATCCACTGCATGTCCCTTCTTTCTTCCCTTGCTCTCAACCTTCTGAATCTCCTTCAGAATTTCAGGAACGTGGCGCGCCACCCCCAGCGTGAGCAACTCTGTTTTTTCCCTTATTCTGTCCTGGAGTTCCTGAATGGGGATCCCATTCCATTCTTCTTCCTTCCTCCACTCTTCCCAACTTATCGGTCATTTCTGTCTCCCCTTCAAGGAGCCATTCACAATCTTCCTTGAGCAGTTCATGCAACCGGATCAACCTGTTTACACCAGAAGCTAGCTTGGAACTGACCACAATCTCAGAGAGTAGTATCATTTCCAGCTTCAGGCTCCAGGGTGCGTCTGAAGGCAACTCCTTCTCTTTTAACGAAGCCACAACTTGATTCCTCCATTCCTTGTTATCTTCCTCTCTCCTCTGCCTTTCTTCCTCTATCAATCTCCTTGAGCCATGTTCTCTTGGAGGTTCATCGGAAGTAGGTACGTCAACAGTTCCAGATGGTCCTGCCTCTTCAACTTTCTCATCATTCTTTCCCTTTCCTTTTCCTTCCTTCATCGTCTCACTTCCCTTCTTTACCTTTCTAGTCACACCACTGCCTTCCACTTCCTTCTCACTGCGCTCCTCCCTTCGTGTTTTACCTTCCCTCATTGAGTCATCTCCACCTTGAGCCCTAGCCTCGTCATCTTCCTGTCGAGAAGATGTGTCGTTTCCCCCATTCGCCTTCTGAGCTTTTCTCCCCATCCTATTTCCTCTCTTGCCAATCCACAATCCCTGTTCCTGAAGTAGTTGTTTTCTGTTCTGCCGCTGTATCTCCAAGGAATAGGCCTTTCTCATTTTGACAAGGAAACCTCCCCAGATATCTGATTCCTCCTTGACCTTTTTTACTGGCTCATATTCCCTCGGTGCTATTCTCTTCATTACTTGTTGCATCTTCTTTTTCTCTCCCCACCTCCTTTTCGCTGCGCAAAGGTTGATACTATCCTCGAAGTCCTTCAAGTTTGTACCATCGAAGATGATATCATCTTCGATCTCATCTCCCGTCAAATCCCCATACTTTGCCCACATGTCAGCCTTGAAGGTCATCCACCCCAGACTATCTGAGGCAATCTCATCTATCGGCTCATTGCATTCCCCAATCCTTTCACCTTCTGCAACATGGTATGAGTATCCCACTCTCTTCTGAAGGCATACTCCTCAAACTCCCTCATGAATACTCTCAAATTGTCTCCTTTCTTGTAGATTGGCATTCCTTGAGAATCCTTTGTTACTTGCTGCATCCTCTTTCGTCCTTCTCTCCCAGAAGTTATCCTGGAAGGACCCGCCACCCCTCCCTTCTGTGACATGGCTGCCTGCTTCCCGGGTCACGCCTGCACACAGAAAAAGAAAGGGAGTGACAGATAATAGGAAGAGTCAGCAACTGGTTAACAATAGAATATTCGCGAAGGAAAATGCCAAGACAAAGGGGTTCTACAAGATTATTAGGTTTTTCCTTCCAGCTTCCATCAACTCACCTTTTGTCTCATGTTGAACTTCTTTAGCGTAGATCCTGAAATCCAATCCTTTCTTGGTGTTCCATCCATTTCTTCAAGCTCATAGGCTCCATGATTTCCTCTGCGCCTGACTCTATAGGGTCCCAACCATCTTTTGTCCAATTTCCTTAACCATTGCTTTTCAAATGAGGAGTCGTATAACAGTACTATATCTCCGATCTCCAATGGTTTTTCTCGTACACGCGGAGATCTATCCCATATTTCTTTGTCCTTCCCACGACTGTCAGTCACTGTCGTCAGTGCTTCTTGAATCCTTTCTTCAATGATACTGACTTGCCTAGCTCTGATGTCAAGTAACTCCTCCAGAGGCATATCGTTCTCAAGATCCTTTCTTCGCCACGTCTTTAAGAAACTTTCTATCGGAAACGTTGCATGCCTTTCATACCACAAGGTTGCAGGGGCATAACCTGTGGTTCTTTTGACTGTGATGTTCTCGACAAAAAACACTGTTCGCAGGAACTTCGGCCACAGGTTAGGCCTCCCAGCTGTCCACTTTGCCAGCAAGTTAGTGATAGTACTGTGTTCCCTTTCAACTGTTGCGTTTGCCTGAGGATGCGCCCTGGTCGTATACTTGGCACTAACTCCAAGCTCGTTTAGCAACTCCTTCACTTCCCCACACGTAAATTCAGATCCCATGTCCATTGTAAATTTCTTTACGAAAGGATATCGGAGGTAGTACTCTTTGATGCATTCAGCCAAGACTGCTCCAGTCTTGGCCCGGATGACCTTTCCATCAACAAATCCTGTAAGATTATCTCGGGCATCAAAGATATAATTATAACCTCCAAGTCCCAATGGCATGTCAAGAGATCCAGGTAGATCACTACCCCCACATCCTTGATATACCTTGGATGTAGAGGTTCCTTGTATCTGATCGGAGACGTGATTTGGCAAGGGACGCACGATTCACAGTACTTTCGAATCATCCCGTACATACCTTCCCAAAGTACAGTTCGGTCACCTTCTTGATGGTAGTGGCAAAACTTTTGTGACCACCTACGGGTCCGTCATGAAGAGCTGCTATGACATTGATCTGTCGATTCCTTCCACAAATGACTCTCCTGGGAGGTCCTCTTTTATCCCTGATGAAGAGATGGTTTTCCCTTACCATGTAGTGATCTCTCATACGAAGAGTCTTTTTACTAACATCCCTTTCTCGCTTATCCCCGGAGGGAAGAAGTCTCATTTCTAGATGGAACCCATCATATTCTTTTTCTTGGAAATCTTCTGAGATTACCCCTTGTTCAAACTCTTCTCCTTTCATATCCTCATCAAACTCGAGATCATCCCCCAGCACTACCTCGTCCGCCTTTACTATCTCTCCTTCATTTTCAGCCTGAACTTGCAGGAGTGAGTTGACAAGACAGTGTACTCTCCCCATTGTCAGCAGGTGCTGATCTACCTGCTTCGTTTCAGCCTCAATTGTTACTGGATCATCAGTCAGTCTGTAAGTCTCTGCCAAAACCAACTCCTCCATCCACTCTCCATTCCTTTCTCCCCATGGGTCTTCTTCAACGAAAGGCTTCAACACCAGTCCTTCAATTTTTATAAAAGTTGCTGGTGTCTCCTTATCATTAATACTCAGTTTCCATGAGTTCACATGAAGCTGCATATCATCTTCATCCCGGAATCCATCTACTGGTGGTGTTTCTTCCTTGGGATATGTTCCAACTGAAAGTCGAACATCCGGATGTACGTGAGCCACCTGGCGATTGTAGGATCCGTGAGAGAGAAATTCTTGAGGGAATACACAAGGGCGGTCGGGTCTATCCTCAGGACAAACCTTCTCCCATAGAGGTAGTGCCTAAAGATACACAGGCAGTGCAGCACGACCAAAGCCTCCTTTTTGAATTGAGAGTAGTTCCGCTCAGTAGTATTGAGGGTTCGGCTCTCAAAACGCAAAGGTCTTCCCTTCCCTTCAAGGTCTGCCTGTATTAGAACTCCTCCCAAAGCGGTGGGTCAGCATCAGTCTCTATGATAAAGGGCCGCTTTGTAACAGCTTCATAGTCAGGGACCCCCAACACAAGACCTCCTTCCTCAAATTCCTTCTTCAAACTTTTCACCACTTGTTCCTGCTTCTCTCCCCATTCCCATTCCTGATTCTTTCTTACCAATTTCCTCACATGTTCAGTCTTTGCAGCAAACCTTTCGATGAAAATTCCCCAGAATCCGCATGTTCCAAGAAAACATCTTACTTCCCTGACGTTCCTGAACAGAGTAGGCCATTCAAGGATCTTATTTGTTTTCCTGGTGTCTGGACGACGACCTTGCTCATTGCATACAAAGCCCAATATAGTGGCCTCTCTCATGCAGTGCCTGGATTTAGTTCCACTTGCTGTAAGGTTATATTCCTGTAACAGATCCAGCACCTTCCTGAGATCATTGACATGATCCCAGACAAACTTTCTTATGCCAGGCGCAACCTCTCGCTCATCTTTCACCGTCGGGCCTTTTACAGCAAGATCATCAATGTACGGCTCAGTAATCTGTGGACTGATTGGCTGCATAACTCTCACCATACTCCTTTGCACCATAGCTACCGCGTTCGTCCATCCTTGGGGTGCCACGTTCATGTGAATCAATCCTATGCATTGTCGTTATCGGCCTATCGGTCGGATACACTGGGAACTGGTCGTAACCAAAGTACAAATCTATGAGCGAGATAATGGCCCTTCCAGCATAGGCTTCAGAGAGTTGATCAGCATTAGGGAGTCCTCCGACATCCCTAACTGTTACAGCGTTCAACCTTTGCAAGTCTTGCACCCACCTGAGTACTCCATTCGGCTTGATGAAGCAGAACCACGGTGAGGCATAAGGTCCGCTAGAAAACCCGGCCCCGTGAGAGCCAATTTTCCCTTCAAGGTATTCTACCACCCTTCTCTGATCATCGGGATTTGGGTACCTGGCTCCTCTAATATTCCAAATTTGATGTGGGAGTGTGTGGATCTTGATCATCCCTATCTTGTCCACATCCAACCTTCCTCTCTACTCATCGTTGAAGGCATAGGCGCAGTGCTTCTCCTTCATTAAGTCAATTACTAACGCCTTTTCCTGCTTGGTCAAGAACTCAGGTTCACCAATAATCAGATCTTTCTCAGTCTCTCTGTTGATACGACAGGATTCTGCTTCCCATTTCTCTCTCATTTGCCTAATCAATTCTCATCCTGCTCATAATACACTCCTTCCTCATGTGTCACTAGGACTGGGACAGGGGGACTCTTTTTATCTACCGTCTTGTCCCTCTTTTTTCCCCCTTGTTTAAGCCCACCCCTAAAAAATGCTGATTGCAGGCTTGGGCATATGGTCCCTGCACTTTCTCCTCTTGACGAGGCGGTCTATATACTAATTTCATCCTTCCTCCTTCAGGATAATCATACAGCTTGTCGGCCAGTGCCCGGATTGCTTCTGGCTCCGCCATATCATAAGCGGATACCATGTACATTGCTTGATCGATGTTGGCCAGACTCAATGTTAATCCTCCACTTTCTTCCTCCTCATCCTCCTCATCAGATCCCCATTCTAATTCTCTTCTCCTATTTTCAGACTCCTCAAAGGTATATAACCCAACACTGAGCCGGTTCTTCGAGCTATGAGGACCTGTATTTTTACAAGTAATAACCTCGAAGTTACCACAGGCAGGGTCACACAGGATCACGAATATAGTACCATCATGCTTGTTCATGATGAGGGCCTCTGATCGTGATAAGAAGGACCTTCCTAGTAATATAGGAAGATCCAAGGTAGGCATGATGTAGAAACAGGATCGGACCTTGACGCTTCCTATTTCCACGATTACATTTGAGGCAATCCCTGTGTATCCTGACTTTCCACTAGCTCCATTAAGGTACCCACAATCTCTTCTGACGATTTCCAACCCTAACCTTTCAGCCGTTTCTGAATTCATGATGTTCATTTCTGCTCCTGTATCCACCACCCCAGGGCATCCTTTCCCTCTGATACTGACGTCAATGGATCCTGTCCCCACAGATTTCCAGTCCATTTTACTTCCAGCCACAGTCCAGTTGGCCTCTTTGGGAATTAGATCTCCCAACCTCACTGTTGCTACTCTCTTTTGTGCCAGTTTCGCCTTTACTAATTCCCTGTGCTTGGGTGCAGTTGCCAAAATCTCTTTCAGGTTCAGCAACTCATTATGTCCCTCAAGAAGCTTGTTTACCAAGTTTTCAAGGTCTACTCCTTCAATTGACGTCTGGTACTTCCACTTTTTCTTTGACTTTTCCCCAGCCTTTTTCTTTCCTCCTTTAACATCATGCTTCCGTTTCTTAGCCTTCTGATCGGCTTGTTTGTCCTCTTCTTCCCTAGGTAACTCATCCTATTCCTCCTCCTCCTCTTCCTCTATTTCGATAGAGGCTCCCCCTTGAGGTGGTACAGGAGCCTGTGCTGGTTCCTTGGGCGCATTTCCTCCTTTAGGCTTCCGTGCGGTATGAGGAATAAAGTTCCTCAACGCCTGATAAGCAGCTTCTGACCCAGCAGCCAGAGTGGCTCTCAATGCTCTGGGGTTAGGAGCTCTCGGTTCATCATCATCCTTCCCCTGACCCATCATAAATAAATGTGGCATTTTCATTTCTAGATTTCCCACCTCCTCGCAAATATCAGTCATCCTTACATTTAACCGACTCATCTTATCTATCATGTCTTTCATTCTCCCCAAGGTTTCTCTTGCCGATTCTCTAACTACATTGTCTTCTTCTGGCTCAATTTCAACCAGTGGTGTATCCATTTCTTCCTCACTTATCTTCACTCCTTTCTTCAATTGGTCACTTAGTTCATCAACTTCTTCCACCCAAACAAAAGGATTTTCTTTCTCCTGCCATATACGAAACATGGCAGGGGCGCTGGGTCCAAGCCCTGCAATTCTGATGGCCTCTTTCCTTGTGCCCACGGGGATGTTTGGGTCAATCTACTCTCCTCACTTATCGAACACATCCCCGTCGATGCTTGATGTGATCAATCCGTCTTGCTCATCCATTTATCTAACATGACACCTTCTTATAATATGTCCTTTTATCGTGCAGTGTGTACAAATGCACTCGCTGTAGTCTATCCAACCTCGTCCGGCCCCTTGACCATTCCATTGCCCATCACTTTTTCAAAACTCCCTACCATAATTCTGGTTATAGCCCTGACCATACCCTTGACCGTACCCTTGGTTGTATCCTTGTCCGAGTTGGTTGAAGCTTACTTGATTGTAATTCCCAGACTGAGCACCTCCCTAAGGTCCCCAATTCCCTCCTTGTCCGCCATTTCCTCATCCTTCGAATCCTCTTCCTCCATGGTCATTTCCTCTTCCTCTATTTTTACTCCTACCATGTCCTTGACCATGTCCTTGTCCTTGAAATTGATTTTGACCTTGGTTCCCCTGGGGTGGCAGAGCATGTTGTGGCTGACCCTCATTTGCTCCTTGCCCTTGTGATGGTCCCGACCTAGTTCCTTGTACTTGGGGCAAATTTGGATTCATCCCAATTTGACCAAAACCCGACCACTGATTCCTAGGGTAGTATCCAGGCCATGCTCCCATAGGAGCTACCACTGGCCAAGGTCCGAATGGAGGTGTCGGGGCTGGTGCCCCTGGGACATTCGGTGTCACAGTTTGTTGCGAATTTTGTCCTTTTTCTGCTCACTATTTCCTTGGTGCCTGATTTTGGTTCTGCTTTTGAGCCTTCTTAGATTGTGCTACTACTTCAGGCTTCTTCTCTCCTTTACTCCCTTCATTTTCCTCCTCATATCTCCTTTTGTTCGTTGCTTGTCCGACCGCCATTATTTTTCTTGACTCCACCTTGTCTTTCAACTCTTTCAACTGAGTCACCATACTACTGAATACTCCTCTTAGGGCTGAGTCTGCCCCTTGGACGACACCTATCTCCTTTCTTCTCTTCCTTTCCATCTTCACTTGATGGTGGAATACCTGGTCCAGATCCCCAGATGCCAAATTTCTTTTTATAATTTCCCATGACGTCTTTCTCCCCGGTGCTCCCCCGCGGGTCAACTCCATAGTCTCATATCCTGAGAATTTTCCTAGAAAGATGACACATTACATTTCCTCGGGAAGCCCTGGTACCCGTTCTGCCATTTTCTCGAAAGTTGTCGCGAATGCTCCTATCGTGGTGAAGTCGTTTTTGTTGACGTTATAGAGTTGGTCGATTATCAACAACCCATCTCCCAGTTTGTACTTCCTCTGCATTTCCTTCTTGAAACTGTTCCAATTTCCTTGGGCATCAGCCACACTCTTTTCAACGTCGGGGCGATATTCCCACCAAACGTATTCAAACAACTGGGCGAATTTCTCCGCCGGCGTTCGTCGGTTGAAAACTTGTTCCAACAGTTCAAGCCAGTGCGATACCCTTTCTCCTTGGAATGGAAAGATTTCTATCCGGGGTAGCTGAGACCTTCAGACACTTTTATTATCCAGCAACCGTGCGATTTCGGCCGCGGTTATGGACCCTTGTCCTCCTGACTCATTTGCGTCTCCCATTTTTCCCGCAATTCTTAGTAAATCTGTTTTGCACAGGCAAAAACGATGGATTTTCAGATTATTTTCGGCCGCCTCACTCTTCCCTTTTTAAACTTTTACCCTTTATCCCATATATCACTTAAGACTCTCTACACTTACATTTCTAGTTTATCCCTCATGATTCCCTACCTTTTCTCACCAATCGGCACTTACTAGCCTTCCTAGTCTTATTAACTAGCATCCCTACATTGTTTTAAATACCCGAGCCAACCTTCTTTGTCATTTTAAGACCAAACGAGATAGACTCTGGTTATCTTTCCAGATCCCTCTACCACTCCATTCTTCCAAGCTCTTCAGCGGACATCCAGTCGCCTGTCCAGGAGTCATACACCATCTCTCCATGAAATAAAACCAGACATAAGCATTAACCGTTGATAGGATTTCCTCGAAATCCCTACTAACCAATTCCGGCCCCATCTCCAAATATAGGCAGTAGAGGGTCTGAGGTGTGAAAAATTCGCACCCTCCCTGAGGTGCTGCTAGAGCCGCCAAGGCTGCTTGTTCTCCGTTCACGTGTCCATTGAAGACTTCATCAATGATGAAGTCTGGAAGAGTAGCTATTATATAATCGGTGGGGTACACGAAATTTGATGCCCATCTCGCTTCTATCATTGGTATGACCGGCCTGAACTCCCCCCAACTTGTCTCTCTAATTTTTGCGCCGAGGATCGTCCCAGTGATTAGGACGTATCGTGATAGGGGCTGACTGTGCCCTACCGCCAGATCTACTTCATGCATCCTCCACAGATGCAATGAAAGATACAACGTCGCCCGTACTATTATACTTTCCTGATTGAGAGTGTGTCCAATTTCAACCCACACAAATGCTTCAGGCCCAATTGAGGTGCCCCACCATGCGGTGATCTCCTCCTCTCTTTCACTTAGGCCTCTAGGAGCAAAATAAGGAAAAGAGGAAGTTGAAGGGAAGCATTGCTGATCTTAAGGACGATAAAGGGGAAGAGGACGAACTAGAAAGAGAAAAGGAAAAAATATAAAAAGAGATGGTGGAAACCTTAGGCTACAAACACTTATATCTCGGACAGGCTTAAGAAAAGAAATAGGGCAAAGATGTGTCGCCGCTAAATAGGACTTACATATAAGTATTGCATGCTTTTGTCAACGCCCTTCCCCAACCTTCTTAGGATACAAACTCTCTCTCTTCTTCTTCCATTCCACTTACCGTTACCCATTCCCCCATACCAGAAGTTATAGGCCAAGCCAAACATGGTTGGAATACCATCCACGCAGACCCTCGAGCATACTTCTCCTCTCAGTTTCTCTCAATACACAAACCTTTCCTCCATAAAGTAAGTTCGGGCATATGCTTCTATGATGGACAAAACGCTGTCAAAGTCACTTTTAGCTAGTTCAGGCCCCATCTCCAGGTATAAGTAGTAATCATATGAGGAGTGGAGAAGTCCTATTCTCTATTAGGTTCACTTAATGCGGCTTCTGCGGCCAACTCCACTCCTGCTTGACCATTAAACACTTCATTGATAATGAAGAGAGGTTCTTGATGTATCGGATCGGAAGATCAAAGTCTTTGGCCGGAAGCATTCTCTTTATAATTCCCTTTGTGTCCCGCCATGGACCTTCTCGGTTTCGGACATCAAGTGCCACTTTGCCTTTTCAGTAAGTAGTAGTAGATATATTTTCTCTCTTTGATCGAGGCTCGATTCATAATTATGCCAGGTAGACAGGTAGGGGATGACCCTCACACTACGCCATCCTTCCATTGAATTCCAACTCATTTTTACCCACATAAATGTCTCAATTCCTAACGGCCTATCCCATCATGACTCGCTAAGTTCTGTTCTGCCTTTTTCTTTTGGCAGCATCATTTATAGTCCATCATCGTTTCTTACTGGTACTTCGTCCCTGGAAACCCGCTAGGCATAAGGCATCTCGATCGAATTCGGAAGACCACTTTTTGCGACCTGCCAAAAAGGCAAGCTAGAGACAACTTATTTTAATGTACTACTTCAACTATTAACTTCTGGGCGCCCTTACTACGGAAAAACCCGACTTTTTATCATTAATCAAGAATCTTTATAGAAATTCCCTCTGTATTTTTCAGCCACACCCCCTGACTCTTTGGCCTGATCTAAATAAAGATCATGAGAATCCATATTACATTCCCTCAGCCTAGATACTTCTCTCTTTTCCAACTTGGATGGATTTCCTCACTTATCACTTTTAGTCAGTAATGAGAGAAAACCCTTGGCCTCATCGTACCCCAATCTCCTCCTTTCAAGGTGACCCTTAGATAATCCCTTTATATATTAGGTATGAGATCAACCCGCACATCTCAACCTGACATAGGAAGAATAGTGCTAAAGTGACGCATAGCCTGTGATTCGTTGGTGCGTTCTGAGATACTACAGGAGGATCAGGTACATATGGTGGTGGAGGTGGAAGGGCAGGCTGAGGTGGCTGGGGAACTATAGCCAACTGCTGAGGGCGGCGTGCCATGAAAGAGGACGGCGAAGAATATGGCATAGAATATGGACGAGAAGAAAGAGGCCCAAACCGTGGCGGCGGAGCGCCATAATGTTGTTCATATTTATACGAATAATATGCCATCTTTCCAGGAGATGGCGTGCGTTCGCGGAAATCTTCCTGATGTCGTCGCAAACGCGGTCCTTCCCATTTTTCCTCCTCCTCCTCTTCTTCCTCTCGCTCAAAGCTTTCCTTTGTTAAATCGATCGGTCTTTCCGTCGCCTTTCCTTGTCGCCCACCTCTTCCTCTTCCTGCTCCAGGTCCGCGAGGCATGGCTGAAAGTTTCTACCCAAGGAGTATCCTAAGTACCTAAATGAGGTAAAGCCAAGGACTTGGGACACGTATAGTTACTAAGGAATTTCAAAATAGATTCCCTACCCGATGTATGAAAAATAGGAAAAAGTGTCACAACCAGAAGGGACTATCGCAGAGAAGAATCTTTTGAACGGTCTCGTGAATTTTTCTATTATGTAGATTAGGTTTTCCGCTATGAATGATTCTATATGCTCTCTCTTTCGCAGACAAAAGGAACAAATATCTTCCCCGGAGTATACAAACTTAAACTTGTCGAGATGCTATACAGGGTATTTCAACTCGTACTTGTCGTATTTTCCAAAACACCTCTTCCGACACAAGACTTGTACCAACAAAATACTCTGTAGTCTTACTTCCACTACCCAGGGAAAACTTATACTATTCTACCCTTTAACTTGTCATTTTGCTTGAGCTTCAATTAACCAGAACCAGGGTCGTTCACATAGGACCCCAGCAGGCAACCGAAGGTCCCCGGCAACTGCGCCACCTGTCGCGCGCGAAGGTCCCGCGCCCTGATGGGGTCGCTGAACCTCACGGTCGTGTCACGCAGGATGTTTCGTCTGAAAAGAACCAGTCACCACTCCAACCGTGCGCGCGTGTTATACCTGTCACGACGCCCTGCGGCAGGTCGGGACGTCGCGAGGTACAACTTACCTCTACCCAAGGGGCTGTCACCACCCTCAGGTAGGCGTATCCCTGTTGAGCTACCGGCCCACATGCGAAGGCTTTTACATGCCTGTGTAGAGGTAGGTCGGCCGAGGGCGTTTGCTCGATCGCTGTAGCACAAAATGGGGTACGCGCKGTAAGACGCCTAGGACTGACCCGTTAGATATTCAGGTCGAACTTTGAGATGGTCGTCTATTTCCGCTTCTGTTCCAAAAGCACATTCTCTTTCTGACCACTATGATCAAAGTATCAAACAAACCTTGTCACTACCGAGGCTATTCTATTCTACTCAACGTATGACTGATCATCAAATAACATAGAGTAATATAAGACTTGATAATGAATATGGAGGTATTACCTTTGGGAACCCTTCCCACTTTCACAAGTGCTGAGTGTCCAGACTCTTCACGATGTCAATCCCAGTCCAATCCAAACTATGCACAAGACAGACCTGCACAGAATAATGCAAAGACAGTTYACATGCCAYGCACT